TAGCAGCGACACGTGCACTGTATGTAAGGGTCGCCATCAATAACCGTTGAAAAACTCTCAGGGGTCAACGTCCCTCTTTCTAAGGCGTAGGCTGAGGAAAACGAGCGAAGATTTTGTACGGACATTACCCAAATAATGTTGACAAAAACGTTTTGGAGGTCAACTTAAAAAAAAAAAAAAAAAAATGTGGCTTATAATTAAAACGCTGGCCCGTTAAATCAGTTAAGTCGTCACGTCGATGGTTTCTATTAACTCTATTACCTTTGGTTAAGGTTAGAAATGTTATCTTAAGAAATTAACTCAAAATGTATGTATGCATTGTATTATTATTATTTATCACAATGATTATGATATGATATTTCTGTAAAATATACAAATATTAATCGTTTGAAACATATTTGTCGGCCGCAAATAGTGTAAAAAAAGGTTTACTAGATTTGAAAAATTTAATTAATAAAAGTTATACTCATTTAATTCAATTGTACCTATTATTATTATTTTTTTTTTTTTACAGAAAGGTTATATACTCATATCATGTTATATTCAAATAACCGTATGCTTTCAAATACCGTCTGTAATCGATCAGTGATTTTTTTTTTTTTAAAGTAATTTCTCGCAGTGACACATGTCTGTCACATCGGTTTCGGCTGTCGATAAGGTATAGTTTAAAATACACACACACACTAAAAAAAAAAAAAGGCCAATGATTTCTGTTATGCACGCAAACCTTTCGGAGGCTCGTGTCAGTTACAAACTAATCAATTTAAATAAACGTGATATTATTATAACGCTATTAATATTTTGTACTGTAGTCGGTGCATATGGACGGTTAGGCGTTTGGCCAAAAGGTCATCGTTGTGAACGGCGTGTTGAATAGCGATTATACATTGACTGGTGTTTTTAATAATAAAAACACCGTTTCTGGGACACTTGGAATACTACAAATCGAATATGGGGTTGCCCTTCGGTGTCGGTTGAGTGGTTTCGATCCCGTTCGAATCGAAACCGCGCATAATATTTAAATAAATATAAAAAACATTAGGGTTGAATCTTATCCGATCGGTTCTGCTGTAATTACCATAAACACACCCGAAACCACTAAATTATACGGCCGGGCTTTGTATATTATTTTGCGTGCGCGGAATACCGTTGAAGTAATACACTATGATTTATTAGATTTCCAAGAGCACTCTGTCGTCGACCCACAGGTCGAGATAGTGATTTATTTGCAACCCTTTAAAATGTTCTAATAAAATATCGTTTCAGTCGAGTTCAGATGAGACGGCGGCGTTTGCTTGCATTCACCTCGTTGCGGTTGTCTGCTAACAAAAAAACAAAAATTGCATAATTAAAAAACTCCATTAAGACTATCTCATTGGGCGGCATCTGTTTTCTTCGTTTCACTCTAAATAATTACTTCTAACCTTTGGGGGGGGGGGGGGAAGGTTTTTCTAATCCATTAGCGTTGTCAGTATTATACGTAGCACAGCTGTTTACCCATCATATTATATATTTTTAATGTGTTTTTTTTTTCCCATTTTGTACACTATTCCTCTTATTGTCGAAAATACCATTCCGGTTGTTATCCTTATCGATTCCGCTGTCGTAGCCGTCGCCCCCCAAGTGTACTGTCATCGTCATGGAAAAAAAACGATCATCTCTCGTCCTAAAAAAAAAAAAAACACAAAATATAAGTAATAAACACAAGCGGTGGTTAAAAAAAAAAATTGCGCATTCGTTTATTTTGTCTGTCATAATAATAATAATGTGTTTGTTCGCGTTGACGTCTAGTCCGTTTGTACAGCGTAAAAACACATCAACGCACAGCTCTTTTTTTTTTTTTTTTGGTGGTTTATATCATTTTAGAACGACGGCTGTTATCTTGTTATTTTATATTTTAATAAGCTCGATGACACGAGAGAGCCAACAACAAAGCCCTCGAAAAAGTAAACGCCCGCTTATGTACGTGACTCGGTTATTTTTATTTTCAATTAGGCGTTTACATAAAAATATATATTAACGATAAATTATATAAACAAGCATCGGTTTTATTTGAGAAAAATCTGGTTTTGCTTCAGGCGAATTCAGCGCTTTGTCTAGATTAATTTTACCCAGTAAAGTTATTTATTAAATTTCCAAATGAGCTATTAAAATTACCGCAAAAGACAATATTCGAATGAAAAACTATTTAAACAGTTTACAAGTGCTTCAATTAAGAAATTATGTCTATGGTACTTGGCATATACATATATATTTGTGTTTAATGTTTCATCAGCAATTATCTACTTAATGACCGAACATTTGGTGACAAATGATAACGCTAATTTATGAAACACAACAACTATAAGTATATTATAGTTGTTATTTTACTCGGTTCACACGCGTTCATTGTGGTCGATTAATCAAAGGAAAATTATTATATTTCAAATACTGGCCACATAGTCAGCGCAAACGTTAAGTGTTAATAAGTCTCGGCTTAGGTTCATTTTGTTTTAACGTTAAACCGGCTTAAGACTTTCACTGGAGAATAAGAAACGCTTAAAAATGTCTATTAATATATAGCTGTTGGTTTTTTTTCTTCTTACAATAACTCTTGTATCGATAACGGGTTACACGTGTGACATTATGAGAAATCATTATGTTAATATTACTAACAACTTACATACCATATACATCAGCTAATACATAAGTAGTATGATCGATTGTCGACAATAAATCACAAGACGGCGTTCTAAGTAGGCAATTTTAGTTCTCGCACGCAAAACAAATAGGTTCTTCAATTTTTCTCCAATTATAATAATATCACTGTAACTTATTTAAATCATCATCAACTAGTGTGCTACAATTTAGATTTACAGAGTTTGACATTTAGAGTACATTGTACTGCACAATATTAGGCATTCAATATTTTATTTTGGAATATTTTAAACGTTCGTGTTAAGTACACTTGCTATAGATATAATATGTGCACGGTTACTCGAGAAGAGTTTTTTTTTAAATAAATAAATTATAAGCGTACAAGTTAAGGTAGGTTTTAACGTTATAATGTTTTTTAAATCGGATGTCAATCAAAAAAATGTGTACAATTTTTTTTTTGAACAATTTTTCGCGTCACGCTTTATTTATTTACTTAGGTTAGGTTAGGTTGGGTTAAGCTAAGTTAGGTTAGGTTGAGTTAGGTTAGGTTGGGTTAGGTTTGGTTAGTTTACTTGTTTACTGGATTTACTTGACTAAGTCTAAAAATATTATCATGCTTCTAACATCAATTCAAAACCCCCGGATTTTTTTTTATAAGATTTTGTTTGATTAAACTAAAAAAAAAAGGTGGCAGAACTGTGTAATTCAATGCTATAAAATATCAAGTACTTCGGGATTGGCCTGGAGCTCGAATGTTTTCAGCAAATTCATTTAATTTGCAGACGGTAAACGTGGGCCGGTAACGACTAGCACAATAATTGAACAGTAATCTGATTACAATGATTTTCAATAAGATCCTCAAATATCATATTACCTTTAGCAATAATACCCCGCGTGTACAATGGATGAAATGAGATAGTGTGTATTGTAATTATTATTAATTCTATAGCCTTACATTTAATTAAATTTTACCCCGTGGATGCTTTGCACTACCCAGTTGGGTGGCAACGGCTAACCCTCGCTGAAATTAGTCTTACATATTTGTTTATAATCATGTTGTTTATTATAAGTGTTATTTAAAAAGTTTAAAGGTGATTCTTCTTGATAACCTAACCTCATTAGTTCATATTATAAAAAAAAACAGTAATCTTAATAAATATATAAAATGCACAGCTGTTAAAATTTTGTTACAGTAATTTTTTCTAAGGAATAATTGTGTGACCTAAAAAAAGTTTGAACAAAACCGTTGCTATATTAAATTATCAACAATTATAAATTATATACAAATATTTAAGAATGTTTTTATTTGGTAGTTTTAAAAGGCAACTTATTAATCCTACACTAGAAATACACGTTTCGGCCAATATTGTTGTAACCCTCACATCATCCTGACACCATTTTCGCTTTACACTTTCACTTTTTCATGATAAAAGATGTGATATAAGTGATTAGAGATAATAGATAACGGATGTATAAGAGATAACAGAGATGTCACCATTTTCGCGTTACACTTTCACTTTTTCACATAGATAATAAAAACATGGATATGACATTACCAATTGAGGCCGTTTGCTTACAGTACTGCGTATTATCTTATTTAGATTATAAATTTAAAAAAAATTGAATTCGTCAATCAATTTCTGCCTCAATTTCGTAACATCTGATGACCGCTGATAAGACGTTATGTCCTATCCATGTTTTTATTGTCTATGCTTTTTCATGATAAGAGATGTGATATAAGTGATAGGAGATAAATTATAACTGATAAGGTATAACCATGATTCAATGTTTTCCGCGGAGCGGATAAATTAATTAGTTTCGTTAAACGTACCAACTTTGGATATTTATCATTTATAGATGTCACACTAGCGTAACACAACCTGACACTTAACTTGGGGAATAAAATTGGTAAAAAATAATTTTTCAGACGAGTCTGCAACCACGAAAGAGCATTTCCGTGTCTCGTTGGAGTACCGAATAAATTTAGAGTAGTGGTGGAATTATAGATAATGAAATAATATATATATCAAGTTTCTGGCTAATCATATTTTAGTGTTTTCATAATATCTGGCCTAAAACAATTCATAGGGAATATGACCTGTTGAATTATTGAAATTATTTTTCAGTTATAGTTTGATCGTTATGAATACAACACGTAAATTAAAAAAATTAACATCCCCATCCCCATCTCTAATCTCTTATCCCTCATCTCTAATCTCTTATCTCTTATCAGATAACAGCGTGACCGTTTATGTGACGCTTTTTTTTGTTATTAACACTTTTTTCGGTTATGTGCCAGAGTTCAGACATGAAAATGTCAACAAAAAAAATGCTAATTTTTTTAACCTGTATTTTATTTTCAGATCAGAGAAATGACTTCGCCCGCAGCATCTCCGCTGAAACCGGCCATCACGGCCAACTCCACGGCTTCGCCCGCCCGTTTGCCTAGCGCTCAACCGACACCGACTCACGCTGCTCAACAACCGGCGGCGGCCCAGACGGTCCATTGCAAGTGGCAGTGCGCCCTGCGCGAACATCCGGTCATGACCACCGGAACAATGTCTTGGACTCGAGTCTGGAGATTCTCCAAGCTGCTCGTGCAAACCGGATGTTAGTCGAATGCGAAACCTAACCGAATCCGTGTCATCGATAGACTTACAATATAATATGCATTGTATCGCGTAGACTTTTTCAATTCTCTCTCTCTCTCTCTCTCTCGAAAAATGTAATACAGTATTTTCCTTTCCACGCAGTACTTACGCCGCTGAACCGTACACATGGACCACCTGGGGGACCGCCATTTTGATTCCGTCTCGTTATCTTGTACTTGCCGTATCCGACTTTGTTCAGTGGATATATTCGATGACGGTTTCTGTTGATAATGTTTGATATCAATTTGATAAGAGATAACAGCTGTTGTCTGACGTTATCAGATTTTTATCACACGTAATCAAGATGGCGGAATCCGTGTGGGATCAATCTGTTATCACTATTAGACTTCCATGTGTATAGTCCGGCGACTATTGACAACAACGACAATAGCTGTAGCACTCTGTTCAGCCAGACATCGGACGTGCGCAGAAACCAAAACGCGTACAACAGGAGTAACGCGTTTTGGTTTCTGCGCAGGTCCTTTCTCTCGCTAAACAGCCGAGTTTTAGGACTTTGTGAAACGTTGCAATCATCGGCCGTGTACGGTACGATACAAAATACACTTATATTTGTTGTTAAAACGTTTTGTAATGAAAAAAAATATTATAAAACCTCATATGTAACACACGACTGTACTTAAGTAGCTGATGTTTTTGCTGTCTTTTTTTTTTTTTTAGTCACTTTGTCAATTAGAAAATAGGTACATCAATAATCATTATTATTATTATTATTATTATTATTGTTGTTAGACGGTCAGGGCTGATTGCAAGGACGTATATTTAAAGCGTAGCGTGTTATCGAGAAAACAATTAATTACTATTGAAATATTAATATAGTTCTATTATCTTGACTAGAGACTGTTTTTTTAGAGACGTTTTGCGTGCGATTTTCAAGGCAATAATATTTAAAATTTACTATAATATTATACTATTTGATCGTTACCTTTTATTTTGTTTTCGTTTTGTAGAGCCTATATTATTATTATTGTATCATTATCATAGTTAATATTATTATTATTATTATTGTACCCACGTCCGTTTTGTACAGTGGGCGTTTTTAAATAATTACTAATATTATTAAATACTAATACATTAGAGGGTAGGGTAATAATATAGATAATATCATTATTTATTATAATGTAGTATAATATTTTCGACTTCTTTTGAAAGTATTCGACTTTTGTATTATTAGTTATTTCGATATTATATTAATACAATCTGCTAACCAGCACACACACACACATACACATGTTTATTGATCTTTGATTCATAAAATTAACAATAATAATTGTTATAAAATAATGGAAGAAAATTAGTTAAAAATTAAAATGTCGACTAGACGTGTTGTTCAATGTAGTTTTTAATAACATGCTGTTGTTTTTTTTTTCGTCTCAAAATAAGCTTTATCACAATCATTGTTATACGAATAATCTTATTGCTATGTTATTGTATTTTTCTCTTAATACGACGTTTTATTATCATTGCAACAAGAATTATTAAAAAATATGTAATTTTTTTTTTTTTTTTGTAATGAAAAACACAATTCGAAATTTCTTGGCGAAAACGTTTTTTTAGACTCGTGTAATTTTGTAATAACAATAATATTTTTAAGTTTCCAATCGTGTGTACTAGTTCCAACGTGACGTTTTTAAATTTTATAAATAGATTTTTTAGGGATTTTTTTTTTACACTACGAATTGTTGTATGCAAAGTTGTACGATCATTTCAATTATAATCATTATTATTACATTATTATGATATAAACAAAAACAAAAACGTTTTAATCTTTCTTTTCCGGATATAATTCCTATAATAGGCGCATGTAACAATCGACCCAATCCATCCAACACCGATAATACTATAAGTGTGTCCAAAGTACATTGTCTATAGTAAATTCTCTATAATACTTTAAAAAAAATATATATATATAAATTCTATAATTTTGAGTTGGTCTAACAATTCGTGTTTATGTGTGAAATTATTTATCTAAGTGTTTTGCATTAGATTATTGTCAATTTTAGCTATTTACTTATTAAGTAATGTTATCTTTAAATTCAGTATTATATATATTTATTTTTTGGAATACTCCTCAAACACTTTGTCACCTTCTTGTGTATAATAATATCATAAGTAAATATCACTCAAGAGTTTAGATTCTAAATGAAAATTAAACAGATACTATGCAGTGACATCAATAAGGGGCAACAAATAGGCAACTAAAATAACATTATATTATTTTTTTCCTGCTGTTTACAGCTTTGTTCACTTTTCAGTTCAGTTAAGAGTAAAAAAACAGTCCATGTTATATTTAAACAAAAAAAAAAAATGTATTAACATATTGATAGTTTTTATAAAAAAATACTATTAGGATAATTATTACATGTAGATAGTATATGAAATTAGCTAGTATTGTAAGGGCAACAATGGTATATGTTTTTGTTTTGAAGAACATTCTAAACTGAGCAACATGTTGACAGTTTTATTAATACATAAACGACCTAATATGACGTAATGAACGTTCTTTATTTACAGAATAAATATTTCCTCGGATTCCAGTTCTTAATTTTTTTAAGGAAAAAAACATGATGCGGATTCACTTAGAATTAGGTATTTTTTGTGGTATTATTTGGTGTTAAATATCATAATATAATATGCCTAACCACTATAAATAAACATATTATCAACCTAGAGAAAACGATGAAACTTGGAAAAATTGGTCTTCATAGCTTATTAGGCATTCAGCTTCATGTTAGCGTTATTAGCAAATAATTAGCTATAAGTATTGTAATTTAAAGCCAATTTTTGGTTTACACGGAAATGTAAAAAAACTTTCCCACGCAAAATACATATATTTTTAAAATATAATATTTTATAAAAAAATTGTCCAAGTATTGTTTGATATTAGATATAATTTAAAAAAATGTTTCAGTGATAATTTGGCATTGATTTTAGAAACGATGATTTAAATGTTAATGAAACATAACGTTTAAAACATCATTTTCACTTATATTTTATTATAATTATTTCCTAACCAAATATGAAATAGAAATATAACTAAAACATTAGCAACTAATGTAGCATATTATAATTTTGTTAGTGTTTATAAAAATTTCAAAAGATAGAACATTTTGAAATGTTTCAATGAAATATTTCTACTTTTATTATTATTTCGGTTTTTTTTGTCTTGTAAAATAGTTAAACAAAACAAATGAAATATTTCACTGACATACATTTTTTTTTTAATTTTAATTTTATAATATATTAAACTTTTATTTAGCAATATTAAAAATATTTCTTTTGTTATAAAATTATTTTTGATTACAATCAGTCAAAATTTTTTTTACTGTATTCTAGTTGCTATAATTGCACATTTTCTTTATTGCAGTTTCATTATTTTTTGTCACTTCTAAATTCCGAAACACTATATGAATTTTGGCACTGTGTTTACCCATTATACATTTTAATATTGAGAAAAAAAAAACACAGTGTACTTATTTTACACTTAAAAGTGTCGCAGCGATGGCACGTTGGAAATGATAACACTGTTATCTAGTTATCTCCTAAGTTGGTGGGATGCCTATATTATAATGTGTTAGCACATTTCGAGTGGACATTTTTTAGCTTTTTTGTAAATTGTTTTTTCGACTCTTGGATATGAGAAGTAGCTTGTCAAATTGGAATTTACATATTTTATTTTAAAACCGTTGCTCTTACACAACTCTATATAGAAATATGGTCGGTACGGAATCTTCTTAAAGGAATCATTGAAAACAACAACATTGTAATGCCGCTAAATTATAATATTTTCTGTATTCAAGAATTGTACAATTAATTTTTCGAAAAACCAGTTCATAGACGTTTATTTTTTATATATTTTTTTTTGAGAAATCAATTTTTATGAAGTGTATGTAGTTTTAATGATGTCAGCAGCCCTTTCGGCGATCATTACGGACGCGGCTTGACTGTAGCCGTTGATCGACAACGGCAAAACCGATTGACCGACCACTCGCAAGTTGCTCATGCCGATCACCTTCAAGTTGCTGTCGACGACGGCCGTGCAATCGGTCTCCAAGCCCATGCTACAAGATCCAGACGTGCTGGAAGTGGACGAGACCAAGTATTTCACCGCGCACTTCCAGTAGTCGTCCGAGTTGAATTCGTACACGGCACAACCTTCGAGTTCCAATTTTTCCAATTTGCTGCCCGCCAGCTGCATGGCCTCGGATTCGGTCAGCTTGGTTATGATCTTTATGGCGTTCATCAGACTGTCCATGTCGCGTTGGTCGCCCAGAGTGTTGCCGATCACCGTGGGCTTCTCCAGCGGGTCACAGCCCTTCAAGATGATCCGGCCGCTGCTCTGCGGACTGACCAAAGTCACCGTGATTATGGAAATGTCTTTTTCGGCGTTCAGCGCGGCATAAGCGTTCATCACGCGGTCGCTGAACCCGTAGGCGGCCCGCAAACCGCAGAGGCGCAACATGGATTTTGCCGGCACGTAGTTGAGATGGACCACCACGTCGGCGTACGACAGATGGACGTCGGTCTTCAAGTAGGCTGCCATCTGCAAACCGTTCAGATTGGAAAGGGGTCCGCTGTACCGGGACAAGTATTTGAACGCGATTTCTTCGGGGCTCTGGACGGGCATCAGCGGTTTGTCGAACGACATCACGATACCGGCGAACACGGGGGTGTGACGGAAGTTCTTGCCCACGGGCAGGTCCTTGACCACGGGCACGTGCATTTTTCTCAAGTGCTCTTCCGGCCCCACACCGGAGACCATCAGCAGCTGGGCGGATCCTATCGTGCCGGCCGCGACCAGCACCTCGTAGTCCGCGTCAACCCTCAGGATTTGCCCGTATTTCGTTCGGACCTCGACGCCTACAGCTCTGAGGTTTAGCGAGTCCATTATGATCTTCGTCACTCTGGCGTGCTGCATGACCTGCAGGTTCTTTCGGCCCAGCGTCGGAGTCAGATAAGCTTTGGCCGTGTTGTACGTCCTGCCGTTCCGTAACACGCCGTTCAACGACACGAATCCCGCTTCGACCGCCGGCTCGTTGATGTCGTTCTGCACGGGGCAACCCACGTGCACGAAGCCGGCCATAATCATTTTCTGCAGCATGCTCCACTCGGTACAGTGGAATTTGCTAATGGGCAACAATCCGCCGCGGCCGTACTTGTCGGTGTCGAACCGGACGTTCTCGATTTTCCTGTAATATTCCACGCATTTCTCGTACGACCATTCGGCCAGTCCTCTTTTCACCAGCTCGTTGTACAGTTGTTCGCTGCCTATCGCCCACACCGGTGCACTGGTCATGCTGGCTCCGCCCAGACCCATGCCTTTGTGGATTTTCATGGCGCCGGCAATCCCGTATCCGGTAGCCGTGCTCGGGTTGATTTCGTATTGCCAATCCGTCTCGGTGTTCAGCACCCGCGGCCACAACGACGGGATTTGTGTAGCCGGCAACGGGTGCCCGCCGGCTTCGATCAGCAACACGTTCCATTTGGGGTTTTCGGACAGTCTGTTGGCCAGCACGCAACCGGCCTTGCCGGCTCCGACAATGATGAAGTGGAAATGCTGCATGTTGCGCACGTGCCGGGTGCAGTCCTGATGATACGCCAAGTCGTCGAAGAGCATGTACCTCTGTTGGTCCAATTTGGTCAATACCTCTCCGATTATGCTCACCTGGTTCAGGCCTACGTCAAAGTTGTACTTTTTGTACGTGCTGGCATATTCGTAAACCGACGAGGCGTCTTCGCCGCTATCTTCTCCGCATTCGCCGTCATCGTCATCATCGTCGTCGTCTTCCCAGCTACGACTACCACTCCTGTCGCCACTATTGTCGTCGTCACGCGGTTCCAAATTATCGCCTTTGCCGCTGTAATCGTCCAATCCTCGAGTGCTCGACATGGTTTTCTTGTGGACCGATTCATATTTACCACCGTATCCGCCGCTTACTTTTCCCTTAACGCTGACGTTCTTCTTTATATTCAACTGAGTATTGGTAGACCGGCTGTTGATGTCAACACGTCCATGTCTTACACCATAGTTTTCGCCATCGTTTACTATTTCATCCTCACCGTCGTCGTCGTCGTCGTCGTCACATTCTCCAGACTTTCCACCCAAACCGGTTGTCTTCGTTCTGGTGTGCTTAACGTTTTGATTGATTTTCGCACTGACTACATTGGGTTTTGCGCTATAAATGCTTCTCGTGCTAGTGCTTCTCACGTTCAACGCAGCTTTTTGTAACTTTCCACCGTCTTCAGAGTCTTCGCCATCACATTCTTTAGATGTCTCCTCGGGTTGTTCATTGCATTTTTCTTCGGAACCGTCTTTTTCGCTGGGGCCGTCATCGCATTCTTCTTTGGAACCGTCATCACAATTATCTTCTCCATTACTGTTAGATCCGCCAACCGGGTCGTGCACTGGCTTTTTTAACTGACCATTGCGGATTCGAATATCCACTTGTTTCTTATCGTTAACATATGTGCTTCCTGGCGTTGTGGAACCACGCACAGCTCGGCGGTTAATGATATCTAGTTTTCGTTGTTGCTGTTGCGAGAGACCATCTTTCACTATTGGTGAACTTGTATACAAATTACCATTTGACTGGGCACTTCTTACATTAGTATTGTGAATTGTAAGTCCATCTTTGACATTGGTAGTACTACCGTAACCACCGTTAACGGTAGATCTTAAGGCGTTGGCCGAGCTAATGTCCACGTTACCGTCAGAACTGCCGTCACCATCGCCGGTTAAATATGTCCCAGTGCCCGAGTTGACCGACGTAGTGCTTATAAGTCCTAAACGGTAAGCCCGGGTCTCGGGTATCAAGTTGGTAACCGTTGTGGTCGTTGTTTTTGCCACGTATCCTTGAGGCAAATTCAGGAACATACCGGCAACGCCAACTATGTTACTGGTGCTTATAACACTGCTGGTCTGTCGGTAATTTGTCTTAAGCGCTCCCCTTAATGACCGGGTTGCAACGAACTTGTTTCTCACGTTTGCTTTGAAACCACCCGATCTTAACAGCCTGTTGGTTTTGGCGTTTACAACGTTCTTTTTCAAATTCCTCTCGTAAATTTTGTTTAAAACGCGACCCTTGATGTGTGCTTTTAGCTTGAACATAGATTGGTGATCCCTGGCGTTCAGTTCTTCTCGACTGTCCACGTTTAGTTCTGCGCTGTCTTCATCGTCACAGGAAACGGGTTTGCTCAGTTGGGATTTTAGATATTCAATTTGTTTCGCCTTGTCCAAAGTACAGAAATTGCTTGTCGACGAAGACCTAACGGAAGCCGAAGTTGTGGTACTTGAAGACACTGCAGTCCCTCCGCACCGTGGCTTGGACCAGAAATATGTTCCACTGCATAGCCTAAAAAAAAACATAAACTTATTTTTATACTTGATTACATTTTTTTTTTTTAACTGAAAACCGAAATTTCCGAAACTCGAGAAATATTTTTTTGTTAATTAAATATAAAATGTTGTGTCTGCAATCTGAAACCGCGAACACACTGTTAGCAATGGACTTATTCGTTGAATTACTTAAGTATGTTACAATTGAATCGGAAATAGTTTATTAAATAAACTTAATAAGTATAGTTTGAATTTTATTACGGAGGAGACGGCTTTTTACTTTACTTTTTTTTTGTGTGAGACTATTTTTAATTATACTATGAAATGTAGATTAAGTGGTTGGTCTATTTGGTACCAAATACATGCAAAATTCGAAATATCTGTAATATATATTTTTTTCTGTGTAGTAGGGAAATTATGAAACCTTCTATTGCCGTATTTTGTACCGTTTAAAATCTCGACTAAACGGTCGTTAGCTTTACTCGAATTAAATACCTATACGTTTTTCTGAATTTAGGCGTTGAACTGACTTCAAAAATTTTAACAGTCCTATTTAGTAAATGTATAAAAAAAAAAATGAACCTTTTAACAATAAGTATGTGCACCGCCGAAGGGACGATAGTGTAAATGTAAAATTATTTTTAAAAAAAAAACATTTATTTATTTTTCTTTATTTAGTTGAAAATTATATTTTGCTAAAAAAATATGATATGTGAGAGAAACTGTTTAAGGAGCAATCATTTGGCTGAGACTCATACGGCTACTATGTTAGTTACTGCAATTTAAACACAATTATTAGAATATAAAAACAGGTAAACCAGACGTTTCGGCTATTGTAGTCCATACAAATTGTGTACTTACTGGATAGCTGTGCAGACGACGACCAAGGAACGAATTAAATTGGCCATTGTCATGTTTGAAGATGACAACACTTAATAACAACCACCGGACACGGTACGGGTATTTATAATGACCAATCGAAACGAAAACAATATTTGTCCAATTGTCACTGTATGTCAATGCACAGCAAATATGTCCGTCCGATGACGGTCAAAAAGATTTATGTTGCCCGTTTTGATTGATAATAACAATAATAATACCGCGAATGATTAATTTGTTTTAACAGCTTTGCACGGTTCGATTGGAATCCGAATTTACAATATTACTCTCCGTTTTGAACGTGTGACAGCTACATAAAAACCGTGTTTGAATTACACGTGAATAATAAATCAGAGCCAAACAAACGGACTCGGTTTAGTGTTTATTGGAATTTAATTTATCGGCTCATATAAAATACCATTTTTGACCAGACGCGGCTAGATTTACCATACGTTATTTTTTTTTCATTCTACTACCTTCCCCGATACCCGACCTAACCTAGGATCCAACATAATCCGTTAAAAGAGGCCAACACATTTTTTAATTTAAATTGAAACGGCCAAAGTCTAACATAGTCGACACAGCGAAGGCATTGTTTATCATAACAATAGCTTTGAACGTTGCTCAATAACTCGCCTGGTTTAATTATTAATTATTTCATTTTTTTTTTATATAATGTGATCTAACTTTTCCATAAACTTGTATGTTTCTACCTCCTTACCAAATTAGTTTTTTTTTTGACACTTGAACGGTTACTTATATTATATTTTATTAACTTTTCAAGCACTGCCAAGCAAAATATACAAATTTGATAAAATCGAATTCAATCTTGGTAATTTGGATTGATATTTGACAGTATTTCAAGAACGGTTTGTGAATTTATGACACAATTTCGTGGAATTTTATAATGTGCCAGCATTCTATCAGAGTCTATATATTTTATATATTGTTTAAAAACTCAGGTTTTGGTTGAATGGGACCATGTACAAAATAATGTTACACAAATACTTGTTCGTTATGAACAACGTGTCTTATATTTTGTGATCGATCACATCAGTCAAACTCTTTACAAATACATTGCTTGCTACAAAAGTAGCACTAAAAAGTTGACTAAAAAGTCAATCTAACTAGAATTTTCGAGACACTAAAAATCAAGGTGGTTTTCACATATATGTACGATTTGACAATGATATTCGAAAAATGTATTACAGTATGGGCGTTGGTGAAAATATGAAATAACAACTGTTATAATGTCGGTCTAAGATATCTTTTTCATTTTTTTCGCCAACGCCACTGTAATTTCATTTCTCGCTCTTACTTAGACTACCAGTGCTATGCTCATAGTCGTACACATTTTGAGACCCGACTCGTTGTATTTACTTTGGGTAAACATGCAAAAAAGTTCTTTGCAATAACAACGCGTGCATGTTTTGCACAACGGAAAGCACAGAATGGCACAAAGGTATCGACATATTTCCATTGTCGTTTCAAAGCCTCAAGTCGACAAATATTTTTACTCAAAACTGAATAATACTTTTGTCGACTGAAAATGTTTTGCCACGTATTAACCGGTGTACTGGTTTACACCGTATTGATTTGCAAGGATTCACAAGCCGGTCAACTGAATGCGATTTTGGGCAATTCGGCATGGGAGCGCATCACCCACATGTTCATCGTTATTTCTTTGACTCATATATACCTAATTGTTCGTACACACACACATATAGGGTGATCGATATGATGTCAGGAACTTATTTTCTCGGAAAATACCAATGCGTTTTATTATACAATATATATAATTCAAACACCGACAAGGAAACGACTTCTTCGGCTAGTCAACCAGCTCCATAGACGTACAGTATCGTGGGAACATTCTCGGCTTCAGGTAATTGAAATCTATCTCGATGTAGATTATTTATTTGATCAATATATGCCGTTTAAATGTTGTTAACAAATTGTGTGCATTTTTGTTTCTCGGTTTGCCATAGTCGATTCATAGATAAATATTTATACATACAGGGTGATCCATTTGATTTTAGACACTTATTTTAGTTGATCATTTTTTTGCGGAACACTTAATATCTTATTGGGTTTAGTAAATAATTGAATTTTTTTTTTATAATATAATGTGATTTTAAATTTCCACAATTTTTTATACTTGTATTCTCCTACCAAACTAATTACTTTTATACCAGCTCTTTTAACTGAAATGATAAGGCAAATTTTTCGTTAACTTTTTAAATCAGGAATAATGTACTTAACGTTTTGACTGATCGAAAACTAGTTACAGTAAATACAATATAAAACGATGAAATATATAAATAAATAAACCGAAAAATTAAGGCTAAAGAAGTAGCTGACTTTGAGAAACCACTTAAAGTGTATACCTAATCAGATTCATGTCGAAGGATTTCAGCTGTTTTTTTTTTGTAAATGTTAAATATTAAACCAATCTAACCTAAGTTTTTCAACAAATAAATTTTAACAATTTTTCTGTACACTTTGTAACGTTTTACCACGGCTATATATTTTTGGGCTTATTGCACAAAACAAATTTGCTGGTTTCCATGACGGGGCATTGTTGCTACGTGTCGCTTAATTCAGATAAATATTGTGTTCAGTTTACTTTTATACTCATATACATATCTGTGGTTAGGTTGGATTAGGTAGGTAATGAACCAATTGTGTTCCAAGTTTTTCGAATTGTTCTGTTTGCCGAACACAACACTGTCACCATTCAATGTTTTGTGTGGAGCGTAGAAAGTAAGTACAACTGCTGTTTTAATTTATACTTAGTTCATTTTTGACATGAACATGTCTTATCGGCCAAGTTATTTGTGCATGCAGGTGTGCGTAGGTGCATGATTTTGTATCTTTAGTTTGGGATTTTTCTCCAAGCAAGAACACAATAGACATAGTGTATCACCGAGCACTGTCAAGCAAAATAAAACTCTTAAAAATATTTTAACTGTGTCAGGGAAAAAATAAAATAAGTGGTTGTAGCAACAGATAACCCAGACTTGACAAAAGTAAATTTTGTTGTTTAGCAAAAAGCATATTGACTAGTTTAACAATTGTAGTTTACAGAGGTAGCAACCAATGGAGATCATAACTTGATTAAAAACATGTAATAGTAGCAACAGAGACAATCCAGACTTCAGATGTCTTCTGCTTCTAACGAAAGGCAATTTAGTGTTATTTAGTTGATAAAAAATAATTTAAGAACAACCATGACTTTCCGAAACGTCCAGACAACTTACCTACACTGAAAACTTCTAAAGTGAGTTTTGGTGAAAAATTTAAATGTATAATACAAGGTAAGGGCAATGTGAAATTTAGAAAATATTATTAGAATTATTTTTATTATAAGCCAAGAAATTGTGCTCAGAACAGTTATTTTACAAATCACAAACAAGTGAGATACAAATATAACTGAGATACACTTAAGATACAAATTACAAATTAATAAGATGTATCAACCTGGTTAAGTCATCATAAAAAAATCAAAATTTTTTATTGAGTTACCTGTAACTAACATTCCATTGAACGGAGCAAATAAACTGTAGTTTTGCCGGTAGGTAGGGTGAATAGAACTTTTGTGACAACGTATGTAATATGTATAGTTTAGAAAATACTAATAATACTTTTTTAAGTGAATTTAAATTACCTTAGTCTCGGTTAAAGAAAATTAAATTAAACGGTCAAGGCTGGAAAATAATGAAAAATGACATGTCATGACAATATCTGGAGTTAATAAATAAATTGTTCCCATTCAAGGCGGTAAAATAATTTTATTCATAAACGTCAAACGAACAAACAGAAAGGGTTTCAGATTGGAGGATATGTGTTTAAAGAAGTAAACTATTTTATGTATATAGATGCCAGCACAAGCAACATAAATCACTCTCGAGTTTAATGGGATCCAAATTGTTATATAAGAAAAAACGGTTATACAGAGTGGCAGCAAGACAGTGATATTGTGAAATGTGGCCTACAACCGGCCAGGAAGATGAGAAAAAGCTAGCTGTCATGGAGAGAAAATTCCTTAGAAAGATATGTTCCCTAAACTGGACCTGACGGGGGAAGAGTCCGACAGAGGAAGGTTACGTTTGGTTTGCAATTTCTTATACGCCATAATTTTATTTCTGCTTCGGATCGAACACGGTCGAAACTGCAACAAACAGGTAGGTGTAACATTATTAATTTAATTATATTATTTAATTTCACAGTCGTGGACTAGGCCTTCTTAGACGTTTTGAGCGACACACCGGACGTGAGTGTGAAACGTTTGGTTTGGCGGCATAACTGTTCTAAGAGGGGAAACCACGCCAAAAAAAAAAAACGAGCCTGATACTTTACCTCAAGGGTTGTTTGGAAAAAGAGTATATTTTATTATTGCACACAAACAAACCAAACATACAAGTAATCTGTAACTCTGTAAGTAAGTCGGCTAGGCCTACCAGATGGGCATCCCCAATTAATATTATAGGTTATTATACAGAATTATACACAGACGGGCCGTGGTTTGCTTGGTGTAACAACTGTTGCCTATACTTGACTCCTTTAATGGAGTAGTATGTAATATTTTATTATAATACATATAACAAAAGAGTAAAAATCGCATTTGTGAAGTTAAAATAAAAATACTTACAAAAGTAAAATGATAACTATGTCGTACTGATTTTATTGTTTTATTTAATTTTACCAATTTCTATACAACCGGACAGATATGTATTTAAGTAACCAATGAGTAAACTCTGTAATCTTGCCAATTCAGAAAAAGAGCGGTACGCTGTATATTTTACGAATAAAACTGTTAATATTTATTTGTGCAATAATGTATTAAAAATAATTGTTAAAATTTATTATATAAATGTCATTATGAGTGTACAATTCTTAACTTAACTTAATATCAAAATCATTAAAAATACATTGCTTGCTCCTTTTTATCTATCCACAAAGGTATTACTTACTCGAACTTTCAAGACACTAAAATTTAACTGTCAACATTTGTACGGCTTTGGAATTTTATTTAGATAAGAATATAATTATGTAAAATCATGATACCCGTTTTC